AAAACTCCAATTTCGACTTCATTGTGTTTGTCATAGAAGCTAGAGATGACAGTGAACCGGGGAAAAACAGGTATTCATCCAAACCCACCCTGTTTGAACCGGAGATGAACCATACGTATTGGATAGTGGACGTATACGGGGATGAAAGCGGGGATGAACTTACCCTTACCCTTGCCCCCGCCCCTGCTATAACCGTTATATATATATATATATATATATATATATATATATATATATTTCAATTTTGTTAGCTGAACCGGGAAATTCAATTTTGTTGGCTGTATTCTGAAGCATTACAAGATACACTGTCAAATTGAGTTCAATAATGACAATAAAAACAAAAGAACATCTAAATTTCAAATTCATTGCCACTGGAACAAATACTGTGTCATTACACCATGGAAGGGACTTGGGATTTAGAATCACAATTTTCCTCGCCCCACACCTAGTCGGATGGGTTTGGTAGGATTTTAAACAAGGTAGGGATGGATTTAGGGAAATAAAAATCCAATTTGGGTTAAGGGTAGGGATGGGTCTGTAGTACCCCACATTGATTATACCCCTTTTCTCTAAAATGAAGCCATCTTAAATATTTATAAGAACAAGGATTTATTTTATTTTTCCTCTGCAACAATGCTTGGATTATGTTGACTTGGACTTGGGCTTGGGCAGGTATGGGGGAAGTGGGGACGGGGACGGGGACGGGGATTAGAAATTTATCCGCGAACAGGGATGGAGATGAAAATTATACTCGTTAGCGGGGGTGGACCAAGAATAGACAAAGTTTTTTAAGCGGGTACGAGAATAGAGACTACACCCCTCATCCTCGCTTCGGTCCATTGACATCCCTAATAGAAGCTCATGAGACCATAGGACTTCAAATAAATGACTATCGCATGCCAACTTCTAACTCTAACGTGAATGAAAGAAAAAATTTGTTCGATAACTTTGTTGGAAAGTTTGATCCCATGTGGTATTAGAATTCTATCTAGTTATATATATGTGAAAGAATTCAAAATATTTTAGAAGTCTAATAAGTAGGATAGATAAAAAAAAATATATGTATATGTATCACCTAAAAATTACCAAAATGTGATATTAGAATTCTAGTAGTATATATATATATATGTGTGTGTGTGTGTGTGTGTGTGTGTGAAGAAATTCAAAATATTTTAGAAATTTAATAAGTAGAAAAGACAAAAAAATATGTATCACCTAAAAATTATCAATATGTGGTATTAGAATTCTAGTAGAGTTTGTACAATTGAATGGAAAAGAAAGAATGTATTATCATAGAGATAAAGTTTATCTATTAAGTCATAGAGATAATGTTTATCTAGCTAATATTTTAATAAAATTTATCTAGGTAATATTTTGATAAAGTTTATCTACCAAGTCATAGGGATAAAGTTTATCTAACTAATATTTTGGAAGTCAAGTAGGTATGAAAGATAAGAAAATATGTGGGTACTAGTTATTGTCTGTTCCTGAAGGCACAAAGTAATAAAAAATAGTAAACAATAAACATATTTATATTCATATTTAAAATCAAATCACAGACATAGAGAAGAGATAAAAGAATTTAAGTATCGGTTTACAATGGGATGAGAGGTGGTGGGCGGCAGTGTTGGTGGTAGGAGACGGTAACGGTTGCAGTGGATGACAATGACCGTGGTGGCGGCAAGGGCGGAGGTGGTGGTGGCGACGACCGTGGTGGAACGGTTTCAAACATTATTTTTTTAAAAGTATTTATGAGAAATAATTTCTAAAAATACTTTTAAAAAGTCAATCCAAACACACCCTTAAAAGCCATATTTTTCCTATTAAAATTAGGGTATTAATATTAGTCGTTAGATTAACTTTAAAGTAATATTTAAAACGATCTCAACCGTGAATAACAAAAATCATTTTATTTATCTTTTGAGATTTGAACTGTAAGCTACTTTATTATATAAATAATTAGTTTTATAATAATAATTAAAGGTAAAATAGGAAATCAAAAATTTTTCACGCATGCCGACATTTATAAGTAGTATAGATATATGTGTGTGTGTGTGTGTGTAACTAATTGCATCTAAATTTGAAATTCGATTTTTATTTTTCATATTTCAATTTTTTATTCTTCATATTTAATTTTTATTTTATTCTTGATCATAAGTTTGAATTTTTGTTTTGATTTTAATTTGGTTTATGCAAACTGAAAAGCGGAGTACAAAATGAGTGGTGATCGCAGTTGGTACTGGCGGACTAGTGACAGTGGCGGCGGTGTTTCAGTGGTTGAAGTGAAAAAGAAGCAGAAGAGATGACATAATGGTCTTTTTGCCACTGTATCAATTGCTGACTTTCAGGATGGCCCAAGACAGTTTGATGTTTAAAACGACAACACTGAATGATATATTTTTTTTTTTTATTATTAATTTTTTTAAAAATTAATTTATTCTTAATTTACTATGTGAGGGAGAGACAAAAGAATTAGTGTTGTTGAAAAAAATATTTTAATTTTTTTTCTTGTTATTTTATCGGGGAGAAAGTTTAATTTTAATTTTTTTTAATTTATTTTTTACTTATTTTTACAAAGAGAAAGAAGGAGTAGATAGTGATAAATATGAGTTGATTTTTGAGTATTTTTTATTTTTTTAATTTATGTTTTTAGGTTTCTAAAGTTATGGATTAGATCATAGACTCAAATTATTATAATAAAAATTTTGATTATATTTAATTTTTTGAGGCCTTCTAAAAATTTAGGGTCTAAAGCCCAAACCTTTTTTTTTTAAAATACTGTTGAGCCGCCCCTGTTCATTTTAGTCCAAAAGTATGTGAAAGTTTTGTAAGGGTCTTAACCAAGCCGAATTTTATAAGTTTGAGTTCGAGTCTATCGAGCTCATTTTTTTAAACGAGTCTTAAAAATTGTTTAAATTTGGCTTATTTAAAACTCGAGTCAAGCTCGAGTAGTTCAACTATTTTACATATAAACAAGTCTAATTTTACAAACTTGAATCAAACTTTTTAAAACTCATTTTTTTAAATGAGTTTAAAAAATTATTCAAGCTCACCTCGTTTAAAACATGAATTGAGCTCAAACCAAGTTTTATCCGAATCGAATCCGGGCATATTGTTTTGAATAACACTCTAGAATTGTGTGCACTCTTTGAAAAAACAAGGGTATGATTAGGGCTGACAAAATTCGACACAACACGATTAACCGACACGAATTAAACGGGTTTTGGATAGATCTTAACGGGTTTGAATGATAAACGGATTGATACACCAAACACGTTTAATAAACGAGTCGTGTTCGGGTGAGAACTGTCAAACTGTTTATCACACGTTTACCCGTTAAAATAAAATTAGTATAATAATAAATTAATAATTATTTAAAAAAATTAGCAAGAAAAAAGAAGTAAAGAAATCAATAAAAAAAAAGTAAAGTAGTTATTCAAAGACAAATGAGAAGAGTTGGAGAACACTTCAAAGGCAAAGACAAACAAATGTCTTTTGTTTTTGTCCCACATTGAAAAATAAAGGGAGATGGGCAGGGTTGAGTTGTCTATAAAAGACAATGACCTCTTGTTTTTATTTTTAAAGCCTTCAAGTCTTATTTTTCAAAAACAAAGGAGAGTAGTTGTAGAACATTTTAAAGACAAAGGCAAACCAATGTCTTTTATTTTTGTCCCACATTAAAAAATGAGAGGAGATGAGGAGGGTGAGTTGCCAATAAAAGGCAATAGCCTCTTACTTTATTTTTTTTTAAAGCCATCAAGTAAGATTTGATTTGAAATTCCTCTTTTTTGAGGTAAGTGTAATTAGTAGTAAAAAAAATGGAGTATTAAAATTTGTTGATATAATTTTTTTAAAATTAAACAGGTTAAACGAGTTGTGTCGTATTATCCGTTTATTAAACGAGTCGTGTTCATGTTGAGATTTTTTACCCGTTTATTAAACGTGNTTGTGTCGTGTTACCCGTTTATTAAACGGATCGTGTTCGTGTTGAGATTTTTTACCCGTTTATTAAACGTGTCAGTGTATGAGTTTATACGTTTTTCACCCGTCACCCGACGCATAACCGTTTAATTCAACACGACGATTGACACCCTTAAATATGATGGACGCATGGGTGCTAAAAGAATTTTGCGTACTTCTACGTTATAATTGACATTACTAGTATTGGTGGTTATAGTTTTTGAAAGTTAAATTATAATTTTTTTGAGGTGTATATTATAATTTTAAAAAATATAATTAATTATTAAATATTAAAATTGATATCGCATTTTTATAATCGATCATAAGTGCCGGTGACCAAAGGGACCGTCACCTTTGTCCGGCAGTTGTAATTTTTTCTTGAAAAACATATAAAGTCAATAAAGGAAGGAGGACTAATGCTATAAAACCCACAAGCAGTGGTCCCGTCGGACGGTGATGGTGATGGTGGTGGTGGGATGCACTAGGGGGTTGTTTGGTAAGTAAGTTTGGGTGGATTTTAGAATATGGGTTGGAGACTAAATCCCTTTAAATTCATGTTTATTATGAATTTAGTCTAAGGTTTGAAATTCGGCTTAGTCATGAAACCCTTGTTCAGGATAGGTTTCATATGTGAATTTGGAAATTTTATATTTAAATAACATTTATATTCTCGTATATTTATACTCATGTTTGAATTAAATTAAATAAAAGTACAGTGCACCCAAAAAAATACATACCACTCAGGCCTAGAAGACTAAGAACTAACACTGCCTCTTATTATATACCCAGAAAATGCAAAGCAATTGCCTCTCGCTCTCCCGCTCCGTCTCCAAAAGAAGAGTTTGGTTAAAATCAGAGCGTACACAGTATAATTTATGCAGATGGTATCTCTTGTAAGCATAAACAGTTTCGAGATTGCTGAATAGACGTGATTCAAGAAACCTATCCTTCTCACTCCTTCTTTGTGTTTGTCGTCTCTTTTTGTTCCTTCTCCACCCCACCCGTGACCCATCCACCCCTCAACCCCAAAATTGAAAACAATGGCTGTGGTAGAACTTTTTTTGGCTGCGTTTATAACTGTGTTGTTTGATAAATTGGCCTCTCGAGAGTTGTTGAACTTCGCTCGCAAAGAGGGAATTCATACTCAATTGAAGAAATGGAGTCAAGTGTTAATGAAAATTCAAGCAGTGGTCGCCGATGCGGAGCCTAAGCAAATCACTGACAGAGCTGTGAAATTGTGGCTAAAGGATCTCAGGGATTTGGCTTATGATTTGGATGATCTGCTGGACGAAATTGCGACTGAAGCTTTGACGCATAAATTGAACTTGGAGCCTGGAACTACCGCAAGTAATGTAAGGAACTTCATCCCTACTTGTTGTACTAATTGCCCTAGCACTGTTGCACTCAAAATCAAGATGGGGCCTAAGATTGAGGAGATCACTGCCAGACTAGAAGTTCTTGCAAAACAGAAAGATGATCTTGATTTGAGAGTTAATCTTGAAACAAGGTCAAACAGAGAAAAATATAGATTGCCAACAACTTCCTTGGTGGATGAATCTCAGATTTATGGTCGGGAAAATGATAAGAACGAAATACTCAAATTGTTGCTTAGGGATGAGTCACATAATGATAAAACATGTGTCATTCCAATAGTTGGTATGGGCGGTGTTGGCAAGACCACACTTGCTCAACTTGTGTACAACAACGAGAAAGTGGATGAGTTTTTTGATATGAAAGCGTGGGTATGTGTTTCTGAAGATTTTGATATATCCATGATAACCAGCACCATTTATGAGTCAGTGACCAATGAAAGCCGTGACTTTAAGAACTTAAATTCGGCACAACAGAGTCTTAAAGAGAAACTTTTTAAAAGAAAATTTCTTCTTGTTTTAGACGATGTCTGGAATGAGAACTACGAAAAATGGGATCTCCTCCGTGCACCATTTCAAGTTGGGCTACCTGGAAGTAAAATTGTTGTTACAACTAGAAATGAAGGCGTTGCATCAACCATGGGTTCTGTTCCAGCTTACCATCTGAAGGAGTTGGCAGATGCTGATTGTTTATCTCTACTTGCTCAACATGCATTGGGTTCAAGAAATTTGGATGCCCATCCAAACTTGGAAGTAATTGGCATGGATATAGTGAGAAAATGTCAAGGCTTGCCTTTGGCAGCAAAGACTCTGGGAGGCCTCTTGCGCACTAAACACAGCCCAAATGAGTGGAAAGATGTACTTGACAGCGAAATTTGGGATCTACCCGAGCATAAGAGTGGCATTCTTCCAGTTTTGAGATTAAGCTATCATGATCTCCCTGCTCAATTGAAGCAAATGTTTGCATACTGTGCTATATTTCCAAAGGACTATGAATTTGACAGGGATGAGTTAGTTTTGCTATGGATGGCAGAAGGATTTCTACAGCAATCAAAACGAGGGAAATGTATGGAAGAGTTTGGTGGTGACTGTTTTAATGAGCTATTATCAAGGTCATTTTTCCAACGTTCTGGTGGCGCTGAGTCAAAATTTCGGATGCATGACCTGTTGAATGATCTAGCTCAATATGTTGCTGGAGAAATATGCTTTAGGTTGGATGATAATAAGGAGAGCAACGGGCGGTGTAAAATTTCTCAAAATACTCGCCACACGTCCTTCATTCACCACCAATACGAAGTGTATAACAGATTCAAAGCATTTCATGAACTTCAGGGTTTACGGACTTTTTTACCACTGGCAGTTCATAAATCAGATTATCGGGCCAAATTCTATTTAAGCAATAGCGTTTTACACAGCTTATTGCCTAAATTACAGTGCTTAAGAGTCTTATCTTTGAAAGGGTATCATATCTGTGAGCTACCTAACTCGATTGGGGATTTGAAACATCTAAGGTACCTTAATTTGTCTGAGACTTCTATTAAATGGTTGCCTGAATCAGTGAGTACTTTGTACAATTTACAGACATTATCATTGCGTGGTTGTAGCACTCTTTGTAAGTTGCCCAAGAACATTGGAAATTTAGTTAACCTTCGCCATCTTGACAATGCCAATACTGCCTTACTAGAAGAGATGCCCCTAGGGATTGGCAAGTTGACAAGTTTGCAAACATTGTCAAAGATTTTTGTGAGCAAAAGTAATGAATTGGGACTCAGAGATTTAAACAACCTATTGCTTCTGCAAGGGATGCTTTCTATTGTAGGGTTGCAAAATGTTATGGATGAGCGGGATGCAGAAAAGGCCAGTTTAAATCGTAAGCAGAACCTTGTTGAGTTAGAATTGATATGGAGTAGAGACATTGAAGATCCTCAAAACGAAGGGCTACAAGTCAAGGTACTTGACATGCTACGGCCTTACAGAGAATTGAAAAGCCTTAAAATTGAGTTCTATGGGGGCATAACATTTCCTAGATGGATTGGGGATCCATCATTCTCTAAAACAGTGCATATAAGTCTTCGTGGTTGTACAAAATGTGTGTCTTTACCACCACTTGGTCAACTACCCGTTCTCAAAGAACTACACATACACGGCATGCATGCAGTAAGAAGTGTAGGTGTTGAGTTCTACAGGGATGGTAGCACATTAGAGATTCCATTTCGATCACTCGAGATTCTAAGATTTGAGGAGATGCTAGAATGGGAAGAATGGTCTTGTGATATCGGTGTGGAGGTTGTGGGTCATTTCCCTCGTCTTCGTGAGCTTGCTATATGCAACTGTCCTAGATTAGTAAGGGTTTCACCCTTGAGGCTTCTCTCTCTTCGCAATTTACAGATAGAAAACTGTGAAGAGGTGGTGCTAAAAAGTTTAACTGAATTAACCTTACTGGCCAGCTTGTATATTCAGAATATTTCGGGACTAACTCATCTACAGAAAGAGTTCATTTCTCCTCTGCAACGCCTAGTTGTTAGGGAGTGTCCCCAACTTGTGTACTTGTTAGAAGAAGATCAAAGGCTACCTTGTAATCTTGAATTTCTGGAAGTATTCCACTGCAAGAATCTGAAGAGGCTGCCAAATGTGTCCTTGCAAGAGGTCAGTCTCCCACCCACACTTAGACATCTTTTGATAAGAGGCTGTAGTTCTCTGGAGTCCCTGCCTAATTGCATCTCTCATCTTGAAGACTTGATACTCGTTTCCTGCTGGTCTCTAAGATCCTTGCCTATGGATACACTTCCCTCCACCCTTAAGTCTCTTCACATTGTTAATTGCTTGAATTTGGAGTCAGTTATAGAAGTGATCGAACAAAACATCACGTCAGGATGCTTTCGCATGAGTAATTGGCCAAATTTGGAGAGGCTTCGCATGTCCACGCCCAATTTTGAAATTTGTTTGGGTTATCAAATTGGGCAGTTGTTCCCAAGAAGTGGTATGCTCACTCCTAACCTAAGAAGTCTTTCGATTGGCTGGTGTGCAAATCTCATTTCCTTTGCCTGTCATATTGAAAGCCTCACATCCCTTGAAGAGCTAATAATATCCAATTGTGAAGGTCTGGAGTCCTTTCCTGATGGGAATTTGCCCCCCAATCTAACGCTGCTTTCTATCAGCAAATGCAAAAAACTCAAGCCTCTATCAGAGTGGGGCCTGCACAGAGCCTCTTCTCTTCAGCACATTGAGATGAGTGATGTATATCCAGAGCTACTTTCCTTTGAGGATGAGTTTATACTTCCTGTTAGTCTAAAATTCCTTCAGATTGCTAGCATGCCGAACCTTGAGTCTCTCTCCAAGGCGATTCACCACCTAACCTCTCTTGAGCATCTGCAAATTTACAGTTGCCCTAAGCTTCGTTCCTTGCCTAACGAAAGGACACTTGCTGCACTTTCGAGTCTGATCATATATCGTTGTCCACTTCTCAATCGACGGAGTTTGAAAGAGAAAGGAGATTGGCCCAAGATCATTGACATCCCCTATGTTGATATTTATCCATGAACGAAGTCCAGAACAAGTTAGGTTTTCTCTGAGGATGAGGATGATGTCAAGACCATCCCTGCTGTTTTGCTATCAGGTTCCATTCATGATGCATGCCTCGTCTTTTAATCTGCTTAGCTCTATTTATAAATTTTTTTAATCAAATGTGATTTAAAGGTTGAGTTTAAAAAGAGAAAATGGGAAACTTATACTTAGCCCCCCAAAACTATGGCCCATATCTCACGTTACACGGAGCCTTAACGGGCCAAGCTAGAAAAGACCATTGAAACCTTCCAGCCTCGCCTTTCTTTCTACTATTTGAAAGACCTTATGATTTACAATACTTTAATGCTCTGACAATTTTTTTATTTAGTTTACCCCAGATGAAGTACATGAAGCCAATAAACTTGCTCCATGACTCGCTGAAATCCAACGCCACGAGAATGTTTAGTTGGTCTGGATGTTGGTCATAAATATGTTGGCTTAGCTATGTCAGATCCTCAAAATAAAATGGTATCGCCTCTAAGTTTTCTTTTTCGATCAGAAGAAAACAAATATCATTATGGTCAGTGATCTTCAAAGTTTGATCTCTGAGTTTTCTCTGCTGGGCTTCGTTTTGTTCCAGATCCTCTATGGTCCATCTGGGGAGTAATTATCACTAGAGCCAATTAGCGCATATAGAATTAATCAATATAAGTAACAGGATTAGTATCCTCAACTAATATTATTATAATGTTGCCTATTCTTTTAAGGAATATTGTTTGTGTGCTCGTGAATGTCCAAGGTTTTGCATTGTAAAAAAAAAATAAAAAGATCTCAATTTACAACCTTTGCTATCAATTTTCTCACATTGTCCCGTCAAGTATGTTAATTGATTTCACATCATCCGAAACAGCAATGATGGTTAACTTTTGGTCAGGAAATGACAAAAGTGCATACCACATTGCCCCCCACGAAGCATTCACATTGTTCCAAAATTTATATGTGCATTGTCCATCCAAAATAAACCCAATGTTCATTGTAATACACGCTCTCTTGCCTTAAATATATTGTGATTCTTTCTTATTTGTGTTGGTGTTTGCAGTTTTCATCACGAGGCTTGTATTACGAAGCAACTTTCTCAAAATTATCCCGATCTCAAGAGGATTCCATTGTAGGTCTAGTGTATCTTCTAATCAAGGGGGATGAAATTTCAATTTCTTTAGAGCCTTGAATGACAGTTAAGTGTTGGAACTTTCCTTTTTTTCCTTGATCATCCAATCTCTTTGGTGTTGGTATGGGTGATAAGAGGTTGTGGGTTCTAGATTCTTCTCGTGTCTTTTTTTTTTTTTTTTTTTAAATCTTATTTATATGTGTTGATTGAAGATCCTTCTTCTTTGCCTTTTGGACCTCATGTAATGATTTGGAAGGCCAAAGTGTTTGTTAAGGTGAAGGTTTTCACTTGGACCGTTGCTCACGGCAAGATTAATACTTGTGATTTGTTGCAAAGGAGATGACTACTTGTCTTTCCTTCCATTGGTGTGTATTCTTTTCACTATTTAATGAGAGTTATGTTTCTATATGTTTGAGAGAGTTTGATTAGTGCTGGATCAGTTTCTGCTTGTCATTGGTTTTTTCTCTTGATATTTGTGTACTTTTATATTTTATTAATGTCTAAGAATGCCATACCTCTGTTATATGAGGGCAAGTGACAACCAACTTGATGATGTACAACATTAATAGTCTAGTTTGGCTAAGAGATTGTTAATGATTTTTCACCTTTGCCATTTGAGGATTGATTTTGTTTTTGCTGCACAACGTTTAGCTGTTGAGTTACTTTGTAATATTTAATATCTTCCCTTTTCTATATTAATTAATAATTTTTCAGGAAAATAGAAATGTTTGTTAATTTTCTATGACAACTAATAAAAATTAGTCTGAACAGGTGTGTCAACGGAGTATGTTCCGATTGTACGAGGGATATTTGATTAGAAAGAAAGAAATAATAAATGTGATTCGTAGTCTAAACATCTAGCACCCTTTTTTTTTTAGCTCTTTGATTAATCCTCTGTAGTCAAACTTGTGCACTCATAAGCTGTAAATCATTGCACTAACATGGGTTGCAGGTGATAGACCCGGTGGTGTGCAATGGGGGTAATGGTGAGCCGTCGGGTGGTGATTCAGTGGTTGTTGTGGTGCATAGTGGGTTGGAGGTGGTGGCAATTTAGTGTTTCAATCTAAGAAGAACAAATGACAGACAAATTTAAAGATTGTGAGGGTATAGAGGTATTTTACCATTATTGTTAAAGGAGTTGGTTGTTTGTTTTAGTCCAAAACCACATGAGGTTGTACGCTCGTATTTGAACCATAAGGAGGTGAAGTGATACAAATAATTACATTCAATTGCAGGGTTATAGTCTTCGATGATCACCGTCCACTAGGACCTAATGTGACATTAAACAAAAAGTGTTTTTGTAAGCAATTGTTGAAGTGAATTAAATTCATGGTGGACAGTAAAGGCCCATAACATGGTAGTTAGAAAAGTAGTTAAAATTGATACAAGCCGAGGAAAAACTGCCACTTTTCCTTATCTACATACTATGACTCGAGGGGTGCAAACCATGTATGTTTTGTCACTTGTGTGGGACCAAGTTATGATTAGGCTGATTCTTTTTCAAGCTTGTGATTCATTTAGATTTTATTTTAATAGTGATTGGACTTGTGATTTATTTAGACCTCATTGTAATAGTGACACATGACTTGTAATAGCAATGAATCATTATATATAACAAAAATTGGGATCAAAGTTACGAATTCATGGTATTAAACAAGTTGGAATTGGATTTCAAGAAAGAAAAAAAAACAAGTTGGTATTGGCTCTTTGATGGGGTTAAATTTAATTTGGATAGAAATTGAATTATGTAGTATTCAGATTGCGTTATTTTGTATTTGCGTTGGGTAATAATTAAACATAATCCGATATATTTAATCAGTTGTATCAGGTGTCTTAATTCTGGTTTATTATGTTTATTTAACCCACATGTCTTGAATTTTGTCTCTGACACATAAAAACTTGGGTATAACCAATGTGCATGATCTACAAGGATTGCATGCATTTGAGATTACTCTTGTAGACACGAGTCTTTTCTTTTTTCTTTTTTCTTTTTTTTATTTTTTTTTTTATAGAAAATGATATATTTTTATTGATCATAAACTGACTATCATCCGAATGAGGGGAATTACAAAGGGAGGACACTCTTCTTCCCAAAGATAAGGATTAATACAATTTTTCGCATGTTTAGCAAGACAATTTGCCACTTCGTTTCCTTCTCTTCGAGTCCAAGAGAATGAATATTCCTCAAAGACATTCACAATGCTATGGAGTTGGTCAGTGAACATACTAACAATAGACAAGTTCGATGTCCCACATTTCAAAGCATCAGTTACAACTTTTGAATCCCCTTCTAGTATAAATTTCGTGTAACCTGAATGAATGGCCAATTTGGCTGCTGTTGTTGCTGTTATGGCCTTAACTAGATCAGGTTTCAATTTGCCTTGAAGTCTTTCAGAGAGACCCATGCCAGTCTCTAACAACTACACCCACCCTAGAGACACCCTCCGACTCCAACACAACCCCATCGAAGTTGATTTGCCAACTGTTCTGATTGTTGTGCCCTAATAGCCCCAATTTTACTGAGCCGAAGTTGGGAGAGGAATTCTTGAGCATAATCAGAGATTTGATCGGGGGGGTGTCGGCTCTTCTCCATGTTGAACTCCATTGTGGTTGAACCATAATGACCAAAGCCACACTCAAACATTGCTGATCAGCGCTCAGCTGGCTGAGAAAATCCAACAACCAATCATTCAAGGCACCTTCTTGATACAAATTAAGAACGAACCTAGAGCTATTCCATGCCACCTTAGCCACTGGGCACTCCAAGAAGATATGGTCCCTGGCTTCAGATAGAGACCCGCACAATAGGCATTCTGTATCCACAGGAATTCACTTTTGACGTAAGTTGCATTGAGTCAGCAAAATATTCTTGATAATTCTCCACAAAAATATTTTTATTTTGCTAGGAATATCGAGAGACCATATGAAGTTTCTAGCCCAAACAATGTCACTACTGCTCGCCTCATTCACATCTGTTTGTTTGCCTCTATGTAGTCCCCTCTCCATAATTAAGTTATATGCCCTTTTGACCGAAAAGTGCCCCAAGTTAGTAAAATGCCAAACTAGTTGATCGTCTTGGTAGTGATCATAGATTGGGATATCCAAGAATTGTTCCACATCGCAAGGGAAAAAGTGTTGCGCCAACAAATTTTTCTTCCAGTAACCCCTTTCAAAATCAATTAAGGAACTTACATAAGGATCCTCAACCATGTCTGTTAACGGACTAATGATTTTAAAGGACCAAGGCCTAGGGATCCATCTATCCCCCCTAACCCAAACACTTCAGCCATCCCCAATTCGCCACAGAGAGCCTACAACCACCACTTTTCTAGAATCCAAAATACTCCTCCAAGAAAGGGAGTGATGAGAACCCAACTGAGCCTTGAAAATGGAAGTAGAAGGAAAATATTTCGCTTTGAACTCCTTATGCACCAAAGAGTCTGGATTTTTGGCAAGGTTCCAAAACTGTTTTGCAAGCATAGCGAGGTAGAAAGCACCCAGATTCGTAAAGCCCATACCCCCCCCCCCCCCCCCCCCCCCCCC